GGGGCGGGGCATAGGGCTGGACCAGGAGAGAAGAGGCGGAGCGAGGAGGGAGGCGAGGTGGGAGGGGAGGCGGGGCTCGAAACGAGGCCAGTGTGGGGGCGGGGTTGGGCGTGGAGGCGAGGGGCGGGGCTCAGGGCCGAGCCGGAGTGTGGAGGCGGGACTCAACTGGGTCGGAGCCCGAGGCGGCTTCAGCCAGCGGCAGAAAGCTCAGGTCCCAGACTCCGCCGGACTATGGTCGGATGCTTAGCAGGAGATGTGAGATGGCATTGCTAGCTAAAGTTCTGCTCCGTGTGTTTCAATTTCTTGAATCCGCTGCTTTTACCTCTATCCCAACCCCCTCATCTCAGGGGAAATAAATTGTTCTCTGAATTCACAGTAAGTGCCTGGAAAGTGTTTTGAGGTCGGGTCAGTTGAACCCAAGGCATTGTGTTGTGAGCATAACGTCCGTAGGGCAGTTACTATTTTTTAGAACACATAAAATTGCCTGGTTATTTAATGCTCAGAGGGGCAGAGCTTGGGTCTGTCTAATTGTGTACTTCACCAGGCATTTTCGACTGTGAGAGCTGAATAAATGTATTGCTGTCAAAGAGAACTACAGCAGTTTATTTGTATGTAAACAACGTTCAGAGTACAGTCCTGCTTTAACGTTATCATTAATGTAAAATAGGATCGATTTATAGTCATGAGGACCTGGACTTATCAGTCATCTGGTCACTTTTTCAGCCAGGAATTATTGACAGCCCAATACAGTCTATTAAAGATTGCACGTGCATCCATCTGTGCCTTTCCCAGTAAGCAGTGTGATCATTTCTATGTGGGCAGGGATAATAGTGTAGCCGGGTCACACAAGAACATTCACCAGAGATTTAGAAGGTAAGTCAGGTGGGAGGAGAGGACATAACATTTAAATCTTACAGTAAAACTTAAGGGTAAGTTAGATGTGAGAGCAAGGGGTAGATTTAAAGGTGTTTTAATTATGACAGGACAGCCTGTGCTGAGGCCTGGAGGAACAGAAAGACCTACCAGATGACTAACTGTTGGTGTGAGATGGACACTGGTAAGACTGGGAATATTTAAATGGTACCAGAACATCCAGGTCCTCCTAAGCCATGTTAGGAAGACAGCACTGTAGTCTAAGAACATCAAAGAGGCAATGATGGTTTTTAAGCAAGGAGAATGGGGTTACCAGAAAGAGTCCTAGTCTGATGCAATGTTATGTGGGATTCTAAACCAAAAATCCAACACTCAGAGAGGTGCTAGCTGAAGCCCCGTGGACAGGAAAGGCAAGTCCATCCTCAGAATACGTGTTTAAACTTAACAAAATGAACCGCTGCACCTTCTGGGCTGGAAGAGAATATAGTTAGCTGGTTGGGGACGCAGCATTGGCCTCTGATTCTGGCAAGCTGGACATTTGGCACTGTAGTAGCTAAATTAATCTTGGTAAATAAATGGACAAAAGCAGTTGGCCAGTGGGGGAAGGGTATAGCTCAGTGGTAGAGCTCATACCTAATATGCAAGAGGTCCTGGGTTCAATCCCCGGTACCTTCATT